TGGTGGGAATGTAAATTGATACAGCCACTATGGAGAACAGTATGGAGGTTCCTTAAAAAACTAAAAATAGAATTACCATATGATTCAGCAATCCCACTACTGGGTGTATACCCAGAGAAAATCATAATTCAAAAAGACACATGCACCCCAATTTTCATTGCAGCGCTATTTACAATAGCCATGGAAGCAACCTAAATGCCCATCGACAGACGAATGGATAAAGAAGATGTGGTACATATATACAATGGAATATTACTCAACCATAAAACGGAACGAAATTGAGTCATTTGTTGAGACATGGATGGACCTAGAGACTGTCATACAGTGAAGTAAGTCAGAAAGAGAAAAACAAATATCGTATATTAACGCATGTATGTGGAACCTAGAAAAATGGTACAGATGAACCGGTCTGCAGGGCAGAAGTTGAGACACAGATGTAGAGAACAAACGTATGGACACCAAGCGGGGAAAACCACGGTGGGGTGGGGATAGTGGTGTGCTGAACTGGGCGATTGGGACTGACATGTATACACTGATGTGTATAAGATTGATCACTAATAAGAACCTGCAGTATAAAAAACCAAACAAACAAAACTAATACTAAACTTTCTTTGGTTTATTTGTATGGAAATATGTTAATATAAATGTTTCAGACATTACATGAAATTTCTAAAAATCTTGTATGTTCTAGTATAATGTTATAAGTTATAATTCTAGTTATTACCTTAAAATGGGTATCTCAGAAATAACTAAATTTCCTTGTCATTTGCATTATTATGAACTTTCATCAAATCTTTAACCGTGGTAATTTTTATGTCTTTTGTCATTTACAGACAGTTCTGGGTGTACTCTGATGCTTTTTCAAAAATGTTCCTATAAAAGGGTTTCATCTTCAAGGAATTCATGGAAAAGACTGACAGTACAGGTTTCTGGTAACTGACTGTACTGCTGAACTGAATGAATAAGCATTTTCAGAACCCTAATGGAAAACTGATGAATTCATAAAAGTGCTAACAAAAGATCAAAATGAAAAAAAAATTTATTACATGGGACTGAGTGAACTGATGAGGATGATTATAATTTTTGTGACTTTGTTTGAATAAAAAAAATCCCACAAGGACTCAGAGGCAAAAAATATACAAATCAATTTTCACTGCAAAGTAAAGGAGCTGTTACAGTGGAGGATTACTGGACTGAACGTCAATATTATGACATAGTATGAGTGTGTCTCGTGTTTGGTAATTGCAATCATTGTTGCTTTTGTTGTGGTCATCCATTTACAATGCTTGGTGTCCGTTTATTTATCTCTTGTAAAAATAAAATACAGTGTGTATGTGTGAAAAAAAAAAAGGAAACCATTGACAAAACAAAAGGACAACCTACAGAATGGGAGAAAATATTTGCAAATGATGCAACATACAAGGGGTTAATATCCAAAATATACAAACAGCTCATACAACTCAATATCAAAAAACAAACAACCCAACCAGAAAACGGGCAGTAGATCTAAATAGACATTTCTCCAAAGAAGACATATAGATGACCAATAGGCACATGAAAAGATGCCCAACATCATTAATGATTAGAGAAATGCAAATCAAAACCACAGTGAGATATCACCTTACACCTGTTATAATAGCTATCATCAAAAAGTCCACAAATAGCAAATGTTGGAGAGGATGTGGAGAAAAGTGAACCCTAATACACTGTTGGGAATGTAAATTGTTCAGCCACTATGGAAAACAGTATGGAGGTTCCTTTAAAAACTAAAAATAGGGACTTCCCTGGTGGTCCAGTGGTGAAGACTCTGGGCTCCCAAGGCAGGCGGCCTGGGTTCAATCCCTGGTCAGGGAATTAGATCCTACATGCTGCAGCTAAGATCCCTGGCACAGCCCAAATAAATAAAAATAAACAAATAAATATTTTTTAGAAACTAAAAACAGAGCAGCTATATGATCCAGCAATCCACTCCTGAGTATGTATCCAGAAAAGATGAAAATTCTAATTCAAAAAGACACATGCACTATGAATAGTGCTGTTCACAGCAACAATATTTACAATAGCCAGGACATGGAAATAACCCAAATGTCCATCAACAGGTGAGCGGCTTAAGAAGATGTGGTATATATATACAATGGAATATTACTCAGCCATAAAAAATAATGAAATATTGCCATTTGCAGCAACATGGATAGACCTAGAGAATATTATATTCAGTGAAGTAAGTCAAACAGAGAAATACTATATAATATCACTTATATGTGGAATCTAAAAAATAGTACAAATGAACTTATTTACAAAACAGAAAGACTTACAGACATAGAAAACAAACCTCTGGTTACCAAAGGAGTGAGGGAGGTGGGGAGGGACAAATTAGGAATATGGGATTAACATGTATAAAGTACTATACATAAAATAGATAACCAACAAGGGTTTACTGTATAGCACAGGGAACTACATTTAGTATCTAATAAATACCTATAATGGAATATAATCAGAAAAAAAACAGAATCACTATGATGTACACTTGAAGCTAACACAATATTGTAAATCAACTATAATTCAATAAAAAATTATTGATCTAAATATTTTTAAAAGTTAAAAAAGTTTTTTTTAAGTTTAAAAAAATTGTTTACAGGTTGATTGAGTAGGCAACAAGAGGTCATTCATGAGAACCCTATAAATCAATCTTGTAAATCCTGTTTAAAAAAAAAAAAATCCACAATAGCTTGTTTGAAATTTTGCTATTGATTTCCCAAACAAAAGAAATAAGTATTGAACTTGAGAGATATATTTCAACGTTTAAACTTTATTTATGGACTTGCTTTTTTATCTCAAAAAACAAACAACAGGGCTTCCCTGGTGGCGCAGTGGTTAAGAATCTGCCTGCCAATGCAGGGGACATGGGTTCGAGCCCTGGCCTGGGAAGATCCCACATGCCACAGAGCACCTAAGCCTGTGCACCACAACTACTGAGCCTGTGCTCTAGAGCCCATGAGCCACAACTACCGAGCCTGCGTGCCACAACTACTGAAGCCCTTGTGCCTAGAGCCTGTGCTCTGCAACGAGAAGCCACCACAATGAGAAGCCCATGCACTGCAACAAAGAGCAGCCCCCACTCGCCGCAACTAGAGAAAGCCCGTGTGCAGCAACAAAGACCCAATGCAGCCAAAACCAAATAAAAAATAAAAAACAAAATTCATCCAGGTAAGTGATCCAAGTTCCATGTGGTATGAAATACCTTTCTCATATGGAACAGATGGTAGAAAAAGTTTCTCCATCTCAACACAGCATGTGTGGATGAAGGGTGCCACAATGGCAGGGAGGCTGTGTGCTGTGCTGGGGACTGAATTCCACTGCAAACTGTGAGGCCTCAGGCCAGACACACCTCTCAAATCATCAACCTGATGGGTTGGTTTCAAAGCCTCATTTTCTTTCTTTTTGTAAGTTTTAGTTTCAGTTATTTTTAAAAATAGACTTTTTTTTAAAAAAACGGTTAAAGAAAACTGAGCAGATAGTACACAGTTCCCATACATCCATCTCACAGCATAGTTTCACCTTTGTTCGCCTGCATGTGTGTTAGTATTATATAATGTTTGCAGGTTTCTCTGTAGGATAAATGCCTAGATGTGGGACTGCTAGGTCAAAGGGTAAATGTATTTGTAGTTTCGGTGGATAATGCCAAATTGCCTTTCAGAGGATTGTACCACTGTGAACTCCCACCAGCCATGTGTGAGAACTGGAGCCCCTTTCAGCTCTAGCAGTTTTTATTCTATCTTCTTCCCAGGACGCAGGCCCAAAGGCTAACTTTGTGGGGAGTTTTTCTAAGATGTGGGCTCCGAAATTGGCCACAGCCAGCTGTGCCACATGCAGGAGAGTTCACATTAGACAGAAACAGCTTTCAGGCAGAACTTCCAGGCTCAAACGACAAAATTTGAATAAGGTGTGAAGGTGAGTTAATAGTATCCTAGCAGGCTTCCCTGGTGGCACAGTGGTTGAGAGTCTGCCTGCTAATGCAGGGGACATGGGTTCGAGCCCTGGTCTGGGAGGATCCCACATGCCACGGAGCAGCTAGGCCCGTAAGCCACAAGTACTGAGCCTGGGCGTCTGGAGCCTGTGCTCCGCAAAAAGAGAGGCCGCGATAGTGAGAGGCCCGTGCACCGTGATAAAGAGTGGCCCCCACTTGCCACAACTAGAGAAAGCCCTCGCACAGAAACAAAGACCCAACACAGCAAAAATAAATTAATTAATTAATAAACTCCTACCCCCAACATCTAAAAAAAAAGGTTTAAAAAAAAATAGTATCCTAGCAGTGTTAATTTCCTGGTTATATAAGATGTTAACATTTGGGGAAGCTGAGCGAAGAGTATTTGGAAATTCTTTGAACTATTTCTGCAGCTTTTTCGTAAGTCTGAAATGATTTTAAAATTAAGAGTTTAAAACTTTAAAAGGTATTTTGAAAAAGAGGGAAAAAATGCGATTGTGTGCCTCAAAATGTACAAATAAGCTGAGAATAGAAACAGTTGTGGAGTAAGCACAGCATTCATAAAAGTCAGGGATTGAATTAAGGGTGGACCTTCTCGTAAGGGATGGATGGAGCCCTTCGCCAGGTTGGGGAGACAGGAGTGCTGAGTTTGGCCCCTGACCTCACCACCTGATGAGCTGCTTATCCACCCTGTGCCCAGAGTCCTCTCTGAAAAGACATCCCTTGCACCACAGGGGGCTGCTGTGAGGCTCCAGTGAGATGCAGGAGGTGAAAGTAAGCTGAGAGCTGCAAAGGATCATACCTCTGGGAAGGGATTACCTGCAAAACCTGAGACAGGCCCCCGTGAAAAAGATCACAAACATTTGCCTGCTGGTCCTGCCTAATACGGGTTTCAGTGGAAGCAGCTGGAAGTCTGTTTACAGTAATTGATTTTTAAGCCCTTAATCGGTGGTCCTCCTCTGTTCAGTGGCCCCCACTCTGAGGTCCCATGCTCCTGAAGGTCCAGTCTCTCCAGTTACATGGCTGTGCACCTCCTTGGGGTGCTAGAGTCATCGTTTGCTTTCTTCCTGATGCTTTCTGCCAAAGACAAGAATCCTGTTGTCTCTTGTTGCCTGAGTGCTGCCTCACAAGGCTAGTTTGATGTTTTAATTGCCTGCAAGAGTTTGTGTTAAAAGAAGATGCAGAATAGTATTTAAGAACATGCTGGAAGAAGAACCAAGTCACCCCTAATTCCTCTCCTCTGAAATAACTGTTTTCGCACCTTGTGTGTGGCAGCTGGGGGAGACCGATCACACAGGGGACTTTCCTCTTGCCCCTTGATAACATGCTATGGACGCTTTTCCTTGTTGCCAAGTGACAGATGTACCTTCATTACTGTGGATGGCTGCCTAGTACCCCATCCTGTGGTTGCCCTGTAATGCACCATGGCAATGGAGGTTACAGAGTTTAAGCCTTTTTCATCATTAGCCAATTTTGTTTTTAATGAGGGATCATTACTAGAACCTGTTACTCCACTTGCCTGATGGTTCTACATGGTGCCCTGAATCGCAAATCCCAAAAAACGCTTTTGGGATTGACAGACTCAAATAGGTTGTGACGGCCTCAGAAATTTTATTTGACCAGATCTTACTGGTTCAACTCCTCTTAAGCCAGTTTTGGCCCATAGGTCTTAATGTTTGTGAAAAACAACCCTGCAGGCTGCTCCCACCTTATTCCAAACTGGAGAAGAAAAAAAAATCGGTGTAGTATAGAGAGCTGGACAGGAAGAGATTGTAGCTTCAGTGGCCTTGGGGCTGTGAAGGTGATAGGGATCGTCTGGGTCACCCTCATGGCACAGATGGGGAGACTGGGGCCAGGAGGTACTGTGAATTACCCAAGGCTCTGTCTGGGTTCCAGGAGGAGGCAGGGCTAGGACCATCAATCTGAAAGGTTCAGAGCCAGCGCCACAGCGCCGTGGTCTGAGCAGCCTTGGAGGGCCCTGCTGCATTCCAACGGGGCCATGCAACTCTGACTCTGCGCCCGGCGCTGCCCTAAGCAGCAGCCGGACAGGGGGGACACTTACCAGCCAGCTCCCTCCTGCCAATGGCGACGAGGCCTTTAAATAGCACTCTGCTGGGGTTCTCACTGGCTGTGACCGGTGCCCGTGCTCCCGGTAGCTCTTGGTGCCTGAGGATCATGAGGGGAGAAAGAGAGAGAGAGAAGGCGCCAACCCCGCCTGCCTTACCAGAGCCAGGCCTGAGCTTCCCGCCACCAGAACATCAGACCCTTCTTGAAGTGCCAGCAGAACTCAGCCCAGATATGGGGAGGGCATGGGAGGAAGGGGAGGAGCAGCCTCAGATGGGATGGGGGTGGAGTTTCGTGTCAGGGACACCTGGATCTACCCAGTGCCAGGCTTTCCCCTGAGCATCCACCATGTATCCTATTGGTGTCACTGGGAAGAGAGAAAGAATTGGCATTCAGTGTGGTACCACGATGCACACAAGACTGTACAGTTCATCTCTCTGGCGGCTCACAATAACCTGTGACGTGCAAGCTAGTGGCCCTCTTCTTTCCCCTGAACCAGTGGTTCTCAGCCATAAGTGCTCATTGGAGACAACTGGGAGGCTTTAGCAAACACTGACACCTGGGTCCCCCTCCCCTTTCTGAGATTCCTAGTACTTGGGTCTGGGTGTGGCCTAGGCAACAGATCAGTGTTAAGCCTTCCCACGTGATTCCAATGTTTGGAAAATAAGTGCCCATGCTCTTCAGTGCCGGTGGTGGGGTTAACTTGTTATTCAACTGTGACCAGGTCAGCTCTCCCAGCTGGGGACAGATGGTCTGGCACAGCCATGGGGGCACAGCCATCAGGTCCAAGTCAGTCAGCCACTGCATCCCTGATGTTCTGGTGTCCGTGGGCCCCCAGCAGGCACTTCCTCCTGGTGCTGCTCGTGATGTAGCCGTTTCATTTGACCCGTTTATTCACTACCCCTTGTCCCCAGCCCTGTAATTTACCAGTGCTCCTTTATCGTCTATGAAATCCGCATCGGTAATAGAGTTCGCTTGTGGAACTCTATTCCACTACCTGATTTGCATATGTTTCTGTCAGGTATCTCTCTGTGTTAAATATTTTACCTTTCTAAAGTTGAGTCTGGTTGAGTTAGACCCTCTTCGCTTTTTTCCTCCAGAATATTCATTTATATATTCCCTGTTTCTTCTTTCAGATGAACTGTAGAATCCTTTAGTCAAGTTTCAAAAACCTCCTATTTTGATTTGATTAAAATTGGATCAAAGCTTTAATATGGGGAAAATCAATATCTACATGACACTTCTTTTAGCTGGAAATACAAAATGTCATTCTACTTACCCAAGTCTTCTTTTATAGTTCAAATAATTTGTATTGTCTTACTCATATGTCATTCATATTTCTTCTTAGAAACATACACTATTGTAAATGGAGTATATTTTTACATATATTTTTAATATATATTATATATTTTTAAAAAAAAATATATTTTAAATATACATATTTTTACATATATATATATATTTTACATATATATACCTCTATATATTTTGCCCACCTATTGATGGTACAGAGGAATACTATGGTGTTCGTATATTTAATCATGTTTAGCCATTTCATTGAATTATTTTACTCTAAGAGTTTCTCCGTTGATTCTTCTGGACTTCCTGTGTATGTGTGTGTATCTCATCTGAAATTAATAAATCTCTCTCTTCCTTTCCAGTATTTACACTCAATTTCTATTTCTGTTTCATGCCTTAACACCAGGGCCAGAATTTCCAAATAGATGTTAAATAATAGTGGCAACAGCAGCTCCTCTCCTTTTTACAGGGAGCACCTTTAGTTTCATGTGTGAATGATGGGTTTCTGCTCAAGCTGATTCATGAAGAATGTGAAGTTCACAGGTCAATGTGGAGGGAGGGGCAGAGGGCCCAGTCTGTGTAAAGGCCTGGAGTGGGGAAGAGCACGTGATGTGTTGGAAGTGGCCTGTGGCTTGCTGAGGCTTTTCCCCCAGAAGCACAGAAAACTGAACACACCCCACGTGCCCCCACCCTTCCACCCGGTTGCTCTGGGGCACCAAGGCAAGGTGGTACCTGTCCACTGTTGCTCGATGGCGTGGACGTGGGCCTCGGTGAATTCCCAGCAATACTCCAGCTTCTTCCACTCGTGGGGCTGCAGGTACCTGGAGGCCAGTCACCACAGCACAGAGCAGAGCTGCTGTGTTTCCTGACGATGGTCCTGCTTAAAGGTCAAGCTCTTCCCAGAGGGGTCACAGAGGTCCCTGCATGAGAGCTGGTCCTGTGGGGCAGATCCCAGAAGTGCAGCATTTGTCTGGGGGAAATCCCTGCCAGGCTCTCCCTCGTGAGCCTGGACACAGAACTGGTGTCATCACAGGCCTGGGGCATAGTGTCCATTACTCTGGTTTCTGACTCTGTGCCTTGCTTTGAGTGCTGGAAACTGAGTTGCTTACACTGTTTCTCCATCCAGAATTCCTTTTCTCACCTCCCTGTCTCTCAATCACATTGCCACAGTCAAAAGACCACCTGGGTGCCACCTCTTCCAGGAAGCCTTCCCATTTCTCTCTTTTCTTTGCGTTCTTATAGCACGAGTGTCAGTAGAATGACTCAGCAGCTGTGGCTAAAACCAGGCAAGCCAAGAATCAGGCACTAACTAAACTTGCCAAATGACAAGTAGAGAAGGTCTGGATTACAGAATTCTTTCTATGCAAAGCAGGTGATAAAATGAGACGTTACCAAAAATTATGTAATAGCTTAAGTTAAACCCACAAAAGTATTACTCAACCATAAAAAGAAACGAAATTGAGCTGTTTGTAATGAGGTGGATGGACCTAGAGTCTGTCATACAGAGTGAAGTAAGTCAGAAAGAGAAAGACAAATACCATATGCTAACACATATATATGGAATTTAAGAAAAAAAAAATGTCATGAAGAACCTAGGAGTAAGACAGGAATAAAGACACAGATCTACTAGAGAATGGACTTGAGGATATGGGGAGGGGGAAGGGTAAGTTGTGACAAAGCGAGAGAGTGGCATGGACATATATACACTACCAAACGTAAAATAGATAGCTAGTGGGAAGCAGCCACATAGCACAGGGAGATCAGCTCGGTGCTTTGTGACCACCTAGAGGGGTGGGATAGGGAGTGTGTGAGGGAGGGAGACGCAAGAGGGAAGAGAGATGGGAACATATGTATATGTATAACTGATTCACTTTGTTATAAAGCAGAAACTAGCACACCAATGTAAAGCAATTATACTCCAATAAAGATGTAAAAAAAAAAGAACCTGCTGTATAAAAAATAAATAAAATTCAAAAATTCAAAAAAAAAAAGCCACAAAATCCCCTCAAAAGGATGTAGATGCAGATTTCTAGTTGTTAAAAAGCTCAGGTGATCACTGCAAAGTAAAGCAGCTGTTACCGTGGAGGATTACTGGACGGAATGTCAATATTATCACATAGTATGAGTGTGTTTCGTGTTGGGTAATTGCAATCATCGTTGCTTTTGTTGTGGTCATCCATTTACAATGCTTGGTGTCAGTTTATTTATCTCTTGTAAAAATAAAATACAGTGTGTGTGTGTGTGTGAAAAAAAAAAAAAGCTCAGGTGAGTTCTGGCATCTGCAGCTCTGAATCTTACATCCTGGTTAACTGTGTCTGGCCAGTCACCTGGGAGGTGACGACCTGGGAGCTTGGCTCTCTCCTTGGGTGGTAAAAACTGTTTCTTTCGAGCAGTGTTCTCAGCTGCATCTTACATTGGGATCATCTGGGAGCTTTAAGAACCACAGAAGCTTGGCCCTTACCCCCTAGATTCTGATTGAATTGGTCTAGGGGTAGGAAGGAGGGATTTGTGATTCTAACTGCACCACTGCCTTAGTGTTGAAAACTTTTAAAGCCTCAGGTGGTTTAAAATTAAGCATAGAGATGAATCAGTTCATCAAATCACTGGTATTAATATTTAGGAGTAATCTGTTGTATGCAAAGGGGTTGTAATATTTACGAGAATCCAGCATGTCAGTGAAAGAAAATCTTATGATTCCTATGGAAATTTATCAATTGATTGATTTTTTTTTTTTTTTTTTTTTTTTTTTGCGGTACGGGACTTCTCACTGTGTGGCCTCTCCCGTTGCGGAGCAACAGGCTCCGGACGCGCAGGCCCAGCGGCCGTGGCTCACGGGCACAGCCGCTCTGCGGCATGTGGGATCTTCCCAGACCGGGGCACGAACCCATGTCCCCTGCATCGGCAGGCGGACTCTCAACCACTGCGCCACCAGGGAAGCCCCAATTGATTGATTTTTGAACAGTGATTTTTTTTTAGAAGTGTAAGAGAAATTTACTAAATTTGTAAACAATATCAGAATGTTTATGATATTCGAGATTCACTTTATAGGTTTAATTTATTGCATTTAATGGGATAATTTAAGAATTTAGGAAGCATTTGAAGTGATTAAAAAGAAAACCTATTATATTAAATTTATTCTTTCAGTTTAAAACCTTTAAGGTAGTTTAATTAAGCTTAAACATGGGACCAAACTTTAATCAAAAGGCTTCCTTGAAAATGACTGTTAAAATTTACCAGTTGTATAAATATAATAATAAGATTGTAAAAATAAATTTAAAAGTTTGAGGAAAAGTAGGATTTAAATTTTGTAAACAATTTAGTATTAATTTCTAAAACTGAAATAAATGCAAAAATTTATTTTCTGTGTATAAAAGCAACCATTAAGGACAACAAAATATCTCTCAACCTACCCCCATTTGCTGACACTGGAGCTGTAAATGCAGGACCTTACATCTGCCACTCCTCTTTCCCAAATCCACAGCAGATATCACTAATCAATCCCAGCACACTTTCCTTCTGGGCTCAGAAAGTTGCCTGAATAGAACACCCCAAGCCACAATTCCAATCACCTGGAGCTCACAGTGAGCTGGAACCAATTTGCCATTTCTTTATTCATGCATGAATGCATTCATCCATCAACCAGGAGCTAGAGCAGGGTCTACTAGTATCTCCACACTGGCACGGACCTCAGTCAGCCTTATTTCAGTGTGGTTTGGGTGTTCACCCATCTCTTGATGCCCTCAAAGAACCCTAGCGTTAGGTAAGGCAGGGATTATCACTCGCTTGGAAACTGAGGGGCCCCTGAATTGGTCAGGGCTGGGGTTCAAAGCCAACTCCACCTGAAGCCATGGCCACTCCCTTTCCAACACGGAGAGACCAGGCACAGGGTCTCAATACCTTCTCCCACCTGTAGAAGCGATCGGCTTTTATGATCATGTCCACCAGGCTGACATGGTTGATGTGGGTGGCCACTGGCAAGGCGGTTTTTCCTTGCTGCGGGTAAGAAGGGAGAAGGGAAGCCAGAGTTCCTATAAGAGGGTGTAGGGTGGCCTCTAGCACTGACTACAGACCCTCCTGTCCAAAGAAAGTGGTTTCCAGCAGTCTACAATGGAGAGCAGAAGGGTTTTCTGGGAGTAATTCTGGATGTGGAAAAGTCACAGGTAGAATAAGGCAATAATTCCAGCAACCACCTCTTGTGTTCTTCTAGAATGGGAGGACTTAAAGCTTATAAAACTCAGCCTGCATAAGTCTTCAAGGTCATCTGTGAGATAGATGTTACCAGCCTCATGTCTCAGATGAAACCAGAACCCAGAGAAGGGGCTTGGGCTCCTGTGTCAAGTTTGCTGCCTCCCCTCAGGTTTCCAGCCCTTTGCTCCAGGCCTCTGGCACAGTACTGGCCTCCAACCACCTCCAGGGACCTGCGGGGAGATGGGAAGCTCCTCTTCAAGCTTGGCCAGCTTCCCCGGGCCCCAGCTTCCCTCCCAGGAAGCAGGAAGCCCTTCCCAGGTCCAGCCTCAGGGCCTGTTCCCTGCCCCCATCTCTTTTCCACACCATCCCAAGGGCTGGGCCACGTGTGCAAGGGCCCTTCCCCTCATGAGCCTGTGACCTCGTCAGCCTCATACTAAGCCTTCAGCTCTTCTCAAACTTCTGGCCACCTGAGGAGGTGGCCACCCCAGAAGCACAGTGACCCAGGAAGCTTCCCCCAATGCTGTTTCACACGTACGGAGTTGTGGGGTGGTGACATGCTGTTCCTCTAGCTCTCTTCCCCTCTCCCCAGCAGATGACTCAAGGAGCTCAAAGTCTGATGGGGGCCATGAAACAGAAGACAAACATATCACAGGCAAGGACCAGGAGAGGGGTGGGCCAAGTGCTGAGGGACCTCAGAGGAGGCAGGGGAAGGTGATGGAGGGGCAGGAAGGCTTCCTGGAGGAGGTTGCCTTTGAGCTGATATATAAGAGATGGGAAGCCTTGAACATTCTGGGAGCAGGAGGCATTTGCATCAGGATCTCTGGCAAAGAGGGAGTCATGAAAGCTTGCAAGGGAGGCTGGTTGTGAGCAGAGGTACCTTATCTCTCAGGTTTAAGTTAACCCCAGCAATGAGGAGAATATCCGCTATGTCCTGCCAGGCGTGCTCGGCGGCAAGGTGAGGGGTGTCTGCTGCCTCTGGAAAAGAAGCCAAGAGGATGGAGAGCAGAAAAGCATGTAGAGATGGCCTGTGGCTCAAAGCCAGGACAGGACCAAGGTGGGTACACTCCCAACTGGGCCTTAACAGAGTTTCTCTAAGAAGTTATGTGGGGCTTCCCCAGTGGCGCACTGGTTAAGAATCCACCTGCCAATGTAGGAGACACAGGTTCGAGCCCTGGTCCGGGAAGATCCCACATGCTGCAGAGCAACTAAGCCCATGTGCCACAACTACTGAGCCTGTGCTCTAGAGCCCATGAGCCGCAACTACTGAAGCCCAGGTGCCTAGAGCCCATGATCCCAACAAGAGAAGCCACCGCAGTGAGAAGGCTGCGCACCACAAAGAAGAGTAGCCCCCCCTTGCCACAACCAGAGAAAAGCCCGTGTGCAGCAACGAAGACCCAACGCAGTCAAAAATAATAATAATAAAATAAATTTATATAAAAAAAAGAAGTTATGTGGGAGGGTAAACTGGATTTAATCATAAACATAATACTCGGCAAACTTAGTAAATAACAAAAAAGTAGAAAGAACAAAGAAAAAATACCACTCGCTATCCCACCTAAGTCAACCTCTGTTAACAGTCTTAGTACATTTCTTCTAGTATTTTCTTTAATGCAGAACGTTTTTAGTTTTATGGTTTTACATATTTGAGATCATCCTGTACATACATTTTGCATCTGTATAACTTCCTGCATATTATAAACTCTATAAACACCATTTTTTATAACTCCGTAAGAGCCTATCTATGCCTATACCATAATTTAACCAAGCACTTCTCTCTTATTAAGTATTCGGGGCCCTTTTTGAAATGAAAACTGATAGACTGCTACAACAAATATCTTGGTGCATGAGCTCTTAATATAGTTCATGAGGCTCAATTCTCAGATGTGCAAATACTGACCATTTTAAAGGTATATGTTATATTCTGTCAAATTGCTTTCCACCACTAGTGGTTGTGTGTGGCGGCCCTGAGGATTGTATGGTTGCGGGGTGGATTGTGGGGATGGGGATTTTAAAACGCTCCTGATTGATCACAACTTCAGGACTCAGAGGCTTCTTGTTATACAAGATTAACCCAGTCACCCCTGCCCTGGGAATTTTCCCTAAGGGAAAAAAAAAAATCAATGAAAGGAAAAGGTTGCAGGTAGCAAAATGTTTACCACAGCGTTCTATACATCATGGCAGAAACTTGGAAATACTCAAATGTTCAAAATAGAGGAATGGTTGATAAAATAATGCTACCTTCAACAAATATTCAAACAACTTTTGACAAAAGCTGAAAGAGCGATTCCTCAATTCTGGGCCAGGCTAGTAGACCACAGTCAAGCCCTGCCAACCTGGGACGGCGCCCAGAGGCTCCATGGGGCCCAGATGCTTTCTGCAGCCACTTACATTGTCAATGGCGTCCAGGTCACTGCCGGTGTCGATGAGGAGCTGCACCAGGACGGGGAAGTCGTGCCTCACGGGCGATGTGCACAGGAGAGGCGCCCTGCTGGGGGGTGGAGAGGCACAGATCAGTTGATGGGTCCCTCCCAGGACTGCCCAGCTGCAGGCTGGTGCTAGAAGATGGGAGTTGGGAGGAGTACACTAAGTCCCCTACGTACGAACCTTCAAGTTGCAAACTTTCAAAGATGCGCGCGTGCGTGCGTGTGTCCGATCACATAAATTAATTCATATGTCTGGCGTACATTGTCACATGCGTGCATCCTCTACTAGTCATGCTTTTGTGTACTTTACTGTACAGTACTGTTGCTGTGCAACACGAGGAGCTTACTGATGAAGACCTGATGGAACTGGAGGCCCAGAGAAAGGCCGAAGAGAGCCAAGAGGAAGAAGGAGTAACTGAAGAACCGAAGCGATTCACGACGCAGGAAATGAAAGGGGATTTTCTTCATTTGAGGAGGCACTGTTAGTTTTTGAGGCACAGGACCCGAACACAGAACGGTACACGAAAGTTGCAGCAGCCGTTCAGAATGCAGTCCAGGGCTACCGTGTCATCTATGACGAGAAAAAAAAAGCTACTACCCAGACAGCACGGAATCATTTTTTAAAGAGGGTAGATAGAATTGAATCCAGCAAGGAACCAGAACCTCTGCCGTCAAAGTCAGGCATGAGTGAAATTGCAGCTTGCCCTCCGTCTCCTATTGCTGATAATCCTTCGGCTCTACCATGTCCCACCTCCTCTCCCCGCTCCAGTCAGTAACTCTTCTTGCCTGTCCACTCAATGCCAGCCCCTGTATGCCAGCTGTTGTACTGTACTACTGTACTTTTCAAGGTATTGTACTGTAAGATTTAAAATGTTTTCTTTATTTTTTGTGTTTGTTTTTTATATATTATTTGTGTGAAAAGTATTATAAACATATTACAGTACAGTACTGTATAGCCAATTGTGTTACTTGGGTATCTAGGCAAACATTGTTGGACTTCTGAACAAATTGGACTTACAAATGTGCTCTCGGAACGGAACTGGTTCATGTGTAGGGGACTTACTGTATAGAGAGTACTTCTGAGTTTGGACCTTCTCACTTCTCGGATGACATGAGTGGCCGGAGGAATTGACAGCCCACAGCCTGAATCCCTTGGGCCACAACTGATCCTCGTGGTGGGCGGGGGCCTGAAATCCCAAGTTTGAGACCTTGCCATGCCAGGAACACACTACGTGACTTTGGGCAAGTCATCTTCATCTGGCAAGTGATGCTTGCTGAGGTCCCTTCTAGCAACACCTTAAGATTCTCTGCTATCTCATTTACTCCACACATGAACCTAGCAAGTATATAGGAATGGTATTCTTATTCGTACTTTCATCTTACAAATGAGAACACTTAATAAGTTCATAAAACTTACATGACACACTCAAGGACACGTAACTAATAGAGACCCTGTGTTACCGGACTTTCTACCCCCGGCATCTAGGTAGGTGCTCAACAACTATTTATGTATGAAATGAATGAATGAGAGAGCCAGCTGGGACCAGAACAGAGGTCTCACCCAAACCCAACATTCACCCAAGGCCTCACTCAAGGCTGGAGGACTTCATCTCCAGTGGTTCCCTGTGAGCACTGACTACATGACAAAGTGGAGATACTGCCACAGCATCCTTCTGTCTAGGTGTATGGTGACACACATCTAGTAGAATAGTACAAAGCCAGAAAAATCAATGGGATAGATCTATACTTACTGTGGAAAAACACCCTCACATGTTGAGCACCAAAAGGTGACAGAACAGAACACACACACATACAACAAAAATGCCCATGACTGCCATTACTAGTTTAGGCCAGAAAAAAACAGTTTATGGATATTGGAAAAGAAGATTTAAACTATATGATTACTTGTAGGCAACGTGACTGTATATCTACACAGGTCAAAATAGTTATTATACCCCCACCAAAAAAAAAAAAAAAAAAAAAAAACCTCCAGCAAAATCAATGAAAAGTCATATAGAAGATAAAAATACCAAAGTCAGTAGCATTCCTGTATTGAATGCCCACAAGAAATGACATATTTTAAAAAGATAGCCTATTTGCAATGACAGTCAAAATATATAAAGTACCTATGAAGAGTATAATTGGAAATGGCTATTACAAAGGCAAACTAAAACCACAGAACATCACTGAGGTATACAAAAGAAGACATAAAGAAATAGCAAGACATGTTTGTAGTGAAAAAATAAAATATTACAAAGATGACCATTTTCTTTTATATTATTTACAGGCTTAATGTAATCCCAAACCCAAATAGCAATAAACGACAAAAAGTATTCTGAAACACATCTAGAGAAAAATTTAAAAACCTAGGTAAAACTACCACAGAATTTCAGCAGTGTCCTCAGATCATTGCTAGATAACTGTGAAATCAAAATCAGGCCAAAAGAAGGTCTCCTGTGAGAGTGAATGAGCAGACACTGGAAACTGGCTCAAGTGCACAACTCGGATGAGCTAGGAAACTTTTCAGAGCTCTAATGGTGGCTCTCCAGGAAGCAGCAGGCCACGGAGATAAAATAACCAAGGATGCTGGATATGGCCTCCATCGTCCTGGAAATAGGTCTGTGGGAATGTGGTAGGAAAGGGGAGCGGAAAGAGAGCAAGTGTTGCTTTTCATTGTTTTACATTTTATTTATAGAACCTAAAGAACCAGAGAGAACAAAAGGCATCTGGTGAAAAGCCTTCTTCCCACCCTCAACACCCATCTGCTCTGTTCTCCCCACTCCAATGGCAACATCTTACAAAGCCACAGTACAATATCCCAACCAGAACACTGACATTGATAATGCCCACCATCTTACCCAGATGTCCCCAGTTCCACTTGTAGTCATTTATATACATGTGTGTTCTATGTAATTTTATCACACATGTAGGTTCGTGTATCCCTTACATAGTCAAGATGCAGCACAGTTCCATCACCATAAGGGTCCCTTGTGTAGTCCTTTTATAACCACACCCTCCTCCCTTCTCTGCCCCACGCCCCCATCCCTAGCCCCCCGCCGCCACTAATCTGTTCTCCATTTCTATTTTGAGAAGTGAGGTCCTGGGAGACTCGGCAGTGTATCCCCTGCCTCCCCACCTTCCATCCAGGCCCCACACGTACATGATCAGCCACGTCAGTGCTGCCTCCTGCATGGACGAGGGCCCAGACCATGTCCTCAGAGCCACCGAGGGCTGCGTAGTGGAAGCAGCTCTGCTTTTTCTAGAGGGAAACAGGCATCAATGCAGCATCCTAAGGACCACTCACAGCTGGGTTTACAAAGCACTTTGAGATTCATTATCCCATCCACAGCTCACAACCCCCCTGGGACTATTATCCCCATTAAACCCCGAGGCAGGAGAAATCAATGACTTGCCCAGGTCTGGTGACTAGAAAAAGGAGTTCACTATGGTCTCAGGATTTTCCTCACCTCCAGTCACAGACTCCGGAACAAAGGCCAAAGCCTTCACAGCTCCTTAGCCAGTAAAGACACGTGGAGTATAGATGCTGAGGAGATGGTTTTCAAGGAGGGGGACCAATAAGATTTACCTGTACAGGTCAAATCCCACCCAGCATGTACTGTCCAGCTGGAGCTGGTCTAAGCACATCCGCAGAGGAGCCTGGCAGGGCCAGAGGGAGGGCTTCTTCCTGGATGAGACTTCATCTCAGGAAGGATCCACTAGCTAACCAACTGTCCCAGATTGCCTGGGACTGAAGGTTCCCTGGATGCGAGACTTTCTGTTTTAAAATCAGGACAGTATGGGCAGACCAGGATGAGATGGTCACCCTCCCAAAGTCGAGTCTGAGCAAGTTTACAGGGTGGGTGGTAATCCATCCACCTCCCTGTGGGAAATGCAATCACTTTGGGTTTGCCCCCTCCTCAGAGACCCTGCTGCACGACACTGCCAGAGGTGGGAGTGTCAGAATAGACCGTGGCCTCTGCCAGAAACCTCAACTCAAGGCTGGAGCATGAGAGCCGGTGAGGTGGGCCAAGCCACCAACGACCACCAGCTGGCTCTAACCCCCTGAGTCTCTAAGCTCCTGTGCTGTTACTGCTGGGGAGGTGGCCATGGCATGACCTGTCTGTGCCCCCTCCCAGTACCTAGTGCTGGGCACAGAGAAAGGGCCTTTCTGACTAAGGAGCAGCACCTTGCTCATGGAAGTGAAACAGGAGTGAAGGGGGCAGGGCACAACCTTTAAAAGAATGACATATGGGCTTCCCTGGTGGCGCAATGGTTGAGAGTCCGCCTGCCGATGCAGGGGACACGGGTTCGTGCCCGGGTCCGGAGGATCCCACATGCCGCGGGGCGGCTGGGCTCGTGAGCCACGGCCACTGAGCCTGCGCTCTGCAATGGGAGAGGCCACAACAGTGAGAGGCCCGCGTACAGCAAAAAAAAAAAAAAAAAAAAAAAGAATGACATAGCCACAGTACATGATGAAAACTAATGAGAACCAACTAGGTCCAAGATGGCAGAAGATTCGACCTCCAGTGGACCTTGAGCCTCATTATATGCTCACTGTAATACCTTAGCATGCTAAATGACACACCCACCAGCGCCATGACGGTTCTGAGGCTAACCGTAAAAGGCCAAAAAGTGGGCAGTGGCCCAATTTCTGGAAATCCCCGCCCCTTCCTCAAAATAGTTGGAATAATCCTCCCACTCATTAGCGTATGAAATTACCCAGTCCATAAAAACTAACCACGCCATATTTTGAAGCCTCTTGCCTCTTGCCTTCCGAGAGAGCCCACACTCTGTCTGTGGAGTGTGTTTCTCTCTAAATAAATCTGATTCTTACCTACCACTTCGTCTCCAAATTCTTTTGCAATGAAGAAAGAACCTTAAATTCACCAGCAACAGAAGGACATGGCTGGTGCCCTGGGACAGCTACTTTCCCCCTCTTGGCTGTAATGTCCCCCGCTATGCCCCTGGGGTAGTAGTCTCCACACCTTCCAGGGGAGCAAATTAAATGTTTTGTGGTTTACAAAGCGTTATTCACATTTAAGGGAATTTACGATTTATATTATTATTATATTTACATTTGCAATTTTGCTATTTCTTTTTTTTTTTCTTTTCTTTTTTTTTTTCCGGCCGAGCTGCACAGCTTGTCAATCTTAGTTCCCCAACTCGGCAGTGAAAGTGCAAAGTCCTAACCACTGAACCACCAGGGAATTCCCTTTGCTATGTTTTTTCTGAATGTCTCTTGTTTTTTCTTGTTCTGTTTCCCCTTGACTGCCTTCTTTTGTGTTAAATATTTTTAGCATATCATTTTCATTCCTGTTTTTAAACTATTTTTGCTATTATTTATATTATTCACTATTAATATTATTTTTGCTACATTATTGAACAAAAAGAGAATTCCAGACTCTGCAGCTGTTCAACCAGCCAAGAAAGAGTATTTGTCACTGATCTAAAAATAAAAAGCAAAACAAAACAAAAACACCAACTTCCTACCTAAAGAAAGGACACAGAGAATTTCTAATGGCCAACTCACAGAGTGCAATGGTAAGGGAGAAAGAGGCCTGTCCCAGAGTCACACCCAGGCTCCAGCTCTAATTGCGGTGTGGGCCTCATGTTGCGGACACCCCACCCCTACCCCCGCTGGGCAAGGCAAACGTTTCAGGCCATGAACTCTGGAGTCAGGGGAATAGGCTTTTCAGACTCAGCTTTGCTTCTTACCAACTTGTGACCTGGGAAAGTCACTGAACCTCTCTCATCTGTAAAATGGGGGGAATTTTTCTGAGGTAATAGTTATGAAAGGGCTTTGTGAACTGTCACGTGCCCAGCGATAAGACACTAATGGGTACTGAGCTCCTATTATGTCCCAGGCAATATGCTAGGTATTCAGCCTTCATAGCAATATAAAATAGTAAGTATATATCACCTCCAATTTATAGTTGAGAAACGAGGCTCAGAGAGATTAAGTAACTTGCCCAAAGTCACAGAGCTCAGCAGTAGAGAAGTCAAGTCCAGAACCTGAGCCTGTTCCCTCACAGCCTTGTTCACACAATGTTCAGGAATCATCGTGGCTCCTACAGTTGACACAGTCACGTCTCTGCAGGCAGCCGAGGAGGGCACACACCAGTCGTGAGGAGGCCCGGCTACCTGGGTGAGGGCGTTCGCGTTACTCCCGGCCCTGAGGAGGAGCTGCACACAGTTGGGATGGATCCCTTCAGCAGCTGCGTGCAGGGCAGTCAGATCTTCCTGAAACCCAGGGGAGCGGTGTGAGTATGGCAGGAGGCTGAGGCCAGAGCCCGAGACCGGAGGACACCCCTTCTGCCAGGGCTCCAGGGCTCTTTGAGCTCTCCCCTCCCTGCTACTGCAGACACGACCTGGTGATCTGTGGTTCCCTGAGCCCCGCACCTGATTCTCACCTTGAGGGACATATGGTGCATTCACTCCCTCCGCCACAGCTCTGCTCGTGTTCTCCTCGCCCTCCAAGCTGCCTCATCCCTGCTCTGTCTATTCCCTCCTACTCCATCCTGGCCACAGTGACCTCTCCCTTCTTTGAACGCACACTGCGTGTATGACTTCTCCGTGATCCCTCAGGCCCGGTGCCCCTCTGAGCCTGGAGTTTTGTGCTGCTGCTCATCTTTTCCTCGTGGGCTGTTTGAGAACACGTCCTTGCTCCTGGCTTCAGAGCCCCTACCAGGGGAAATCAGGCTGCACCACAGGCCGCGGGCTCCTGGAAGGCAGGGGGCAAGCCAGTGTCACACATCTCTGCATCCTCCAGGTGGTGACTCACCACATTCCTCTCCTCCAGGTCCAGCCTGACATCCATGAGTCACTGCAGCACAGCCAGGTGGCCCCAGTGGGCAGCCGGGTGAAGGGCTGTGTTCCCCTCCTGCAGGGAGAAGGGCTCCTGAGGGGTCAGTGGAATCACAGACCCTTGCAGGCCCTGGGGACCCGCTGGAGCTGAGATCCAGAGAGGGGAGATATGTCCAGGGTTATAGAGCAAGTTGGGGACGAGCTGCAGCCCTGCACGCTGGGCCATTGCCACCCTGCTCTGAGAACTGTGCCAAAAACTACCAAAAACCAGGCGCACTTTCAAGGGCCAAGTTCTGGTCTCTTTTCGTGCACTTTAAGACGGACATATTAGCCTCACCCTTGAGAGGTCTAAAGGTGACAGTGACTGAGCCAAGAGAGGTGGCTCCACTGGGCGGGTAAAGGGCACGGTGTTCTTTGTGTTGGAAGTGGTCCCACAGAGGGCAGCCTATTTGGGATCGTCCTTAAAGGGATCTTGCTGCAGGAGGGTAAGGGGCCCCAGGGAAGAAAAGGCAGCTGGACGTGGCCGGCCCGAGAAAAGGTATGTTCCTACAGAGGAACCACAGATGGGGGACCAGGACAAGGACCCTGGAGGGACCCACAAAAGCACCCAGAAGGGAGGACCCAGCTTCAGCCATGCATCATGCCCAGAAGGCCACGGGGACGACCGAGCTGAACCAGTGCTTTCCTCTGCCCTGGCCTGTCTCAGTACCTTCCCCAGGAGACATTCAGTTGAGGCACAGATATCTGTAAAGGGCCCAATGAGGATGTGAACACAAACAGAAGCCAAAGCAGTACTTAAAGTAGTTAAAAACATACCCTGCCCCCATGACAGATAAACACACACACATAAACAGCTCTAACTATCTTACAGGGTCAAGGAGGAAACATCTACATTTCCTTTATGATCATCATTATATTATATTAATTAATAAAATTAAGTTTAAAAAATCCCCTCAACAGCTTTTTTCAGCTCTTCTCCCACCCGATCCGTGGTCGGCTCACCACAGCAAGCAACGGTCAGGCTGCGGGCGGTGTAGCCACAGCCTGAAGTCTCTGTGTTCAAAGAGACCGGAAGGAAGTGTGTGAACATTGGGGTCTGGCACGTGCCCCCAGTTAGCAGAGCTGTGGAAACAGGGCAGGGCTTCCCTCTTCCTTCTGGATTATAAATATCTACTTCCTGCCCTTTGAAGCTGCAGATGGCATGGACCCCCTGCCAGGGCCCTCACACTCTGCCCAGGCAGGACAGGGGGCTGGGTGGAAGGAGACCTTGGCCTTGGGCCTGGCCTCTCCCCTCCACCTGTAGGGACATTCAGCCTCTCCACCTCTGTGGGGCCCTGTCAGCCTCTCCTTGACATTTCCGGAGGAATTAATCACTCTCTCCGGGCTCTCAATGCCTCCCTACCACAGCACCTGCAGCGTGAGGTATGTTGTCATCTGTTCTGACAGGTCTGTCCCCCTACACGGGCTGGCGGGTCCTAGCATGAGTCAGACCTTCAGTGGCCCAAAGCCTTGAAAAGCATACTGTGCCCTCTCCCCAAGTGAAATTCAAAATGAAAACATTTCTCATTGGAAAATACAACACTTAACAGGGACATGTAATTTTAAAAGCTTCCTCCTAGAATTTCTGATTGCAAGATTCTGGGTAAGTTCACCAAAGCTGAACTTTTCTTGCTTTCTAGTTTGGTGCTTCTGCTCTCTTGGGGCCCTGAGTACATCATTTTTTTTTTTTTTTTTTTTTGCCTCCTGGGTAGATATGTCCTGGCAAGGGTCATCCTTTACCCCGGTCTGTACTCCTAGTTCCTGGCTCAGGGCCTGGCACAGAGCACAACCTGCTCCGCCCATGTTTCTGAAATGAAGGAAATCAGCCTGATCTGAATCTCAGAACCTGACTTAGCCTTTTCATCCTGAAAGGCTGAGTGTGGGTGGACAGATTTCGTGCAGACCCCCAGGGCTCAGGGCCGCAGGAGGCAGCCTGATGAAGGAGGAGCACAGGGGGGCATCAGGATGCTGGCTCCAAACCCAGCTTGACCTTTGTCTTGCTGTGTGACCTTGGCTACAGTATCCCCTTCTCTGGGCCTCAGCTTCCACATCTGTAAAATGAGAAGGTTGAACTGGCCCTTGATCTAAGATCCTGTGATCCATTGGTCTGTGAGCTCGGTCACTAGCTTTGTAAACAGAACTCCTTGTATCCTAGCCAAGCATATTAATCAGAAAATTAACAGTGGAATTCTTCCCTTTGTTGGAAGCACTGTTTAGAATTTGCTGCAACACATTTGCCTAATGATTTGCAATGGTCCATTGATACAAGTCATTTGTAGGGTAGTCCCCTTGGGTCCCAACCCCTCATCTATTCTCAGATAGGTGAATTCCTGCTTATAAGCTCTCCACCCTGAATGAACTGCTCCCTCCTCAGCAGTCTCATCCTACTTTGGCCATAATCATAGTAGATTACTAAAACACAAAGAAAGCAAATAACCAGCAGGCATGTGGCTACTGTCCCCCAACTTCTCCCCATTCTCCCCAGCAACAGACATCCCCAGTGGAATCACAGCCCTGCTCAAACCCACTCCAGGCATCACTACCAACCAATCAGATTTGCCATCCTGGCTCCCCACATTGGCTCACAGCTCTTTCCTAGGATTGTGGTTGAATTCCTTGATTAAGAAACTGTGTCTTGGGCATCTTCGTGCTCTTCACCCATAGCACACGGCTGGCCCATAGTGTGTGCTCGAAAAATGCCTGCTGCATGAGCATCAGACACACGCTGGTCTTCAGGCCACCAGCCCCTCTAGCACGCTGCAGTTGGCAGTAGACACAGGTGAGCTGCCCGTGACCACCCCGGTCAGGAGCCCAGAGCCCGGCCCTCTCCCTGGGACCCATGGTCACAGTACCTTGTCTTTGACACTGTGGTCACAGCCAGAGCCCACAAGGAAGTCCAGAGAATCCAGCTGCCCGTGCTCTGCAGCCCGATGAAATGCTGTCCTTCCCAGCTGGCGGGAGAAGAAAGTGAATCTTCCTCGCCCTGGCCACCTGGCCTCAGTTTCCCCAACCACACTGGGCTTGCAGCACTCCAGACACTCTCCCCCTCCTTGTCCTATACACCCTGCCTGGAAAGCCCAGACCATCTTCCCAACAAGACCCCACTTGGTGGGTCCCTCCCCCACTGAAATCCTCCTGTGGCTCCTGAATAAAGGACCCATTCCTGAGGCTGGGGGTTGAGATCTCCATGAAGGCCCCTAACAACCTCTCAGGCCTTCATTCCCAAGATTCTAACCCATCTGAACTCACACACCAAAAGCCCTTTTCCTCTAAAGCTCTAGCAATTGTCTCTCCTCCATCTGGAATGACCCTTGCTTTCTAATCTTACTGATGAAATCTATTCATTTACCAAATTCCACCTCCTCCAGGAAGCAGAAAGCACTGTCTCCCTTCTCTAACCTGTCTAGTCCATATCAGAGTCTCTCTGAGGGAAATGACCATGTGCTGCTGGCGTCCTGCTCATTTGTGCCCTAATGCCCCTTCTAGACTAGCAACTCCCTGAGGTAGGGTCCAGTCTGCACTACCCATGGCTCAAGGGATGCACTCAAGGAATGTACAGGAGAGGCCCCAGGAATCCCAAGCCCGATGGGAAGGACACACAGCCTTGAGGCCACACTCACCTTGTCAGCGTGGTCCAGGGCCACGTCCTCCAGGTCCTCTGTTATGAACGCCAGCACTGGCACATGGCCTTTTTGGGCTGAGCAGTGCAGTAAGGTCAGGCTGTCCTGGAAACAAGCCCAGGGTGGTCCCTGCAGTCTGCGAAGGGAGGCCCTGCAGAGGGCCTCCATTGTTTGGGAGGCTGTCTCCCAAACAATGAGTGTTTGAGATCAGAACAGCTTTCCAAAGGAAACCACACTGAAAATGGGGATAGGCCCCTGGGACATCCACAGGACCCACTTAGCCTCACGGGGGCTGGTGGGACTCAGGATGCCAGAGTTCAAATCCCAGCTCCAGCATTTATCAGCTCTGTGGTCTTCGGCAAATTACCTATACCTCTCTGAGCCCCCATTTCCTCATAGGTCAAGTTAGGATAATACAGGCTTATTGTGCTTCGCTTTATTGAAGGTCTCTTAGTCTCAGAAGCAATATTTAAGTGAGGGAGGTTTGCAAATCCTATGCTTATAGTCCAGAGCTTCTACCCTGGCCTTGCATTACAGCTAGATTATTTGGAGTACTTTTCCAAATAGATTGTAACTATCAATGGGTCATAAAAATCAATGGATTGACAGTGGTTTGGGTTACAGAGAAGTAGCACTTGTCAAATTTCAGTGTGTAGGGACCTCCCTGGTGGCGCAGTGGATAAGACTCCACACTCCCAATGCAGGGGGCCTAGATTCCATCCCTGGTCAGGGAACTAGATCCCACATGCACGCCGCAACTAAGAGTTCACATGCCACAACTAAGGAGCTGGCAAGCCGCAGCTAAAATGAGGAGCCCTGGAGCCGCAACTAAGGAGCCCGCAAGCCACAATGAAGACCTGGTGCAACCAAATAAAAAATAAATAAATAAATAAATGTTTTTTTAAAGACTCAGCTTGGGCTTCCCTGGTGGCGCAGTGGTTGAGAGTCCGCCTGCCGATACAGGGGACACGGGTTCGTGTCCCGGTCCGGGGAGATCCCACATGCCGCAGAGCGGCTAGGCAAAAAAAAAAAAAAAAAAAACTCAGCTTGTATTTCATTGTATACAAAGAATCTGAACTCTAGTTAATAATATGCATGCTGACATATTTAGAGGGAAGTACATTGATGTCTGCAATTTATTTTGAAATGCATCCAAAATCTACAAAGAACTCTAAAAACTCATCAATAAGAAATTACCCCAATTAAAAAATCTGCACACCAAAGAAGATATATGGAATGGCAAATAAGCACATGAAAAACTATATGACATCATCTAGTCATTACTGAAATGCAAATTAAAACGACAAAGAGTTTCTAACAATAGAGTATGGAAAGGGAAAAATGCTAACATTCCAGTGGAGAAACCACTTTAACCAAGTGATCAAGCTTGATATTGTGATTTATAATAAGAAATATATATTTGGTCTTTGTCCTGGCTCCTGGCACAGAGCTCCTACAACGCTAGGAATCTCCTAAATGGTAACAGTGATAAAGGTGTCTTTTATGATGTTAACGAGGTGACTTGAAGCCCCTAAGTAAATAAAGGATGGGGGGCTGGTTGCCAGGGGAACCAACAGTGATTAGAGGGTTGGAACTTCCAGTCCCACCTCCTCACCTCTGAGGAGAGGAGAGGGGATGGAGGTTAAGTCAATGACCAAGGGCTGAGAATTTATCAAGTCTATGTAATGAAGCCTCCATTAAAAACCCAAAAGGACAGGGCTTGGAGAACTTCCAGGTTGGTGAATCAGATCACATCCATGTGCCGGGTCCCAAACTCCATGGGGACACAAGCACCTGCGTTCAGGACCTTGCCCTATGCATCTCTTCATCTGGCCATTGATGATTCATATCCTTAATATCCTTTGTAATAAACCAGAAATATAGTAAGTAAACCGGTTACCTGAGTTCTGAGAGCCGCTCTAGCAATTAATCGAACCTGGGGAGGGGGTCGTGGGAACTTCTGATTTACAGGCAATTTTATGGCCAGGCAACCACCTGGGCTTGTGATTGACATCCAAAGTGTGGGCAGTCTTGTAGGACTGAACCCTTAACCGGCAGAATCTGACACTATCTCCAAGTAGTGTCAGAAATGAGTTAAATTTGTGGACTCCCGGTCAGTGTCCACGGGGAACTGAGTTAACTGCTTGGTGATGTGGAAAAAACACACATCGGAATTGGTGTCAGAACTGGATCAAGAGACCATCACCAGTGACGAATCACAATGGTATCACATGCCCCCTGATAGGAGGTAATGAGAAGGGCATTTGACCTGTGGGGTCTTCTTCCCCAAATTCCATAACCCCAATCTAATCATGAGAAAAACATCAGACAAAACTTGCTCTTTTGATGTCCTGGGGCTGTCACAGAAGGAAGTCTCCATGAATGTCAGCTACCACCTGGAGACACTGGCCACACCATCCGTGACGTTCCCTCTTCCTGCAGAGGCCCCAGACATGTGCTGAATGTGTCCTCATAAGTGAGCCCAGGCAAGGCCGGAGGAACTGACCAGCCAATGATACTATGAAAAATCATAAATCAGTGTTACTTTAAGCCACTACATTTTAGAGTGGTTTGTTACCAAAAACAGAAAACTAATATGGAGTAGACCTGCTTAACTAGAAGATCCACTACTCAGAGCCCTGCCCTCCACACACACTTAAGACCTCACTTCCCTCATTCTAGAACACTGAGGCTCATTCTGTGTTGATAGCAAATTTCATCGCAACAGCTACTGGATTCTCCAAGACCACGGAGACTCTCTCTAAGGCTAAGCCAGACAGGCAGGACTGTACAGGAGGGCCCTCAACTTGAAACTGGGCTTGGATCCCACACTCTGGGCTTGGATCCTGTGGCCCACAGCCTAGGGGTATCCTTCACTGAGAGCTGTCAGACATTTCTACCACTGCCAACAAGATCCGAACAATGGTATAGGGCAGACCTCCTGTGTGCCATGGCCCTTTGTGGTGTCTGGTGAACACCCATCTATTATCTTACAGTTCTGGAGGTCAAAAGTCTAAAATGGGCTGGGAGGGCTGCTTCTCTTCTAGAGTTTCTAGGAGAATCCATTTCCTGACCTTTCCAGCTTCTAGAGGCCACCTGCATTCCTTGGCTTGTGGGTCACATTACTCCAACCTCTGCTTCCTTCAATCACATCTCCTTCTCTGACTCTCCTGCCTCCCTCCTTCTTTCCCCTAAAAGGACATGTGGGCACATGTGGATAATCCAGAATAGTCTCCCCATCTCAAGGTCCTTAACTTAATCACATCAGAAAAATTCCTTTTGCCATGTTAGGTTCTAGAGTTCACAGGTTCTAGGGATAGGGATATGGACATCTTGGGGCGGACAGTATTCTGTCTACCAGAAAAGAAAAACAATGATATTAAAATAGAACTATCAAAATATTCAAACCCCAATTTTTTATCTAGTAGCATATGTGCTTTATTGATCCATTAAACAAGATCTAGTGAAAGGTCTAATAACTACCGCCATGATTTCAAAGTAATGATGAGCGTAAACAGTATTTTGAGATAACTGCAAAAACTGTAATGTGATATGAAAAGAGCTACATTTTGTCTTAGAGACAATGTCACAGGTAATATTAATTCTACCTGCATTCATCATGGAAAGAAATGCTAAAATTTTAAGCAGAGGGCAGTTTAAAAAAAAAAAAGGTCCTTGTTTTCCCTTCAAAGTGCATGGATCCCCAAATTCTGTCTCTCTAAGGACCAAGGTTGAGAACTCCTGGCTGAAGGTATTTGGCCCAGAAATGTTTGCATTTTCATAAGGGCCACCAACCCCGTAAAAGTTGAGACACCAGTTCAGGGATTCTGGGCACTCTTGACTCCCTGGGGCTCTCCTCCCTCAAACCATAGCACACACCAGTGAGCAACGGGGGGCTGCCAGGGTCGCTAACGTGCCAGGCACTGGGCCAGGTACTTTAGACACAGCACTGCAATTACTTCTGCCTCAGCTCAGAGATGGGTACTAGCAGCCCTATTTCCAAATGGGAAAACTGAGGCTCAGGGTGGTAAAATGATTTGCCCAAGGTCCCAGAGTTTGGTGAATGGTGCTTTGCTCCTTCTACCTGGCCATACTGACCACAAGGGAGCCGGGGCCCCGTGGGAGGGAGAAGGCCCTGCCTCCTTCTCATTTAATCTTCTGAGGGTGTTTCTTTAATTCCCCTTTGTGAACAAGAGGCTGGCCAGGGGACTGGGGACTGTCTCAACACCACAGAGTGGTAAAGAGTGGGGGGATCAGAAGCCAGGGGCTTTCAATGCTGATGAAAGAGGCGTCCCCAGGCCCTTCTCCCAGCCCCAGTGGAAGTAGTGAGGGTCCCAGCTTCACAAGGCTGAGCTCAGGTGGGGGTTCAGGATGCTTCTCAGAGGGTCGAGGCAAGCTGGGGCAGGCAGAGGCACATGAGGGGACAGAGAGGGCAGTGATGCGGACAGGCAGCAGAGGTGGGGGCAGCCCTGTGCAGCAGGAGGTAGAGAAGGGGCAAGTGGGCTGCCAGCTGAGGCCTTACCTTGTTCTTACACTGGATCTTGACCCCGGAGTTGACCAGGATCTGGAAGATCCGTAGTGGCTGAACCAGGCAGACAGGAGAAGCGCATTCATGCCAAACTGCATTCATCCCAAACTCGGGGAGAGGACATGGGGGTGGGGGAGGGAGGAGACTATGAGGGGATGTGGCTGTGCCACCTGGGCCCAAGTGTGCTTTGCACAATCGTGCAACCATAAGGGACCTTAAGTGCCACCCAGGCCGGGGAGCTCTGGGCTTTAGGAATTTAGAGTCCAGGAAATTGTTTTAAACAGAGGCTGATATACTATTGCAAACATTCCCCCCCCACCAGTTTTATTGACAAATAATTGACATACATCACAGTATAAGTTTAAGGCATACAGCATGATCGTTTGATTTACATATATTGTGAAATGATCACCACAGTAGGTTCAGCTAACAGCCATCTTCTCACATAGATACAATAAAAAGAAAGGGAAAAAAAAAGGGAAAAAGATTTTCTCCCTGTGATAACTCTGAGGATTTACTCTCCCAACAACTGCAAACTTCAGTGGGGATACCAAATAAACCTTAAAAATAAAAGAGCTGCCATCTCCTCTCACCACCAGTTCATAAAGATGGACCGTTTTACCACAAAAAGTTTGGAAGGAGCTGATCTCAGAGTATACTCTTTCCAAATACAGCTTCATGAAACATACACTGCATTGTTCTAATTTTCTGATTTGCTGTGACTGGTGAAGACCTCATCCTGGACTGGCGTTTGAGAATCAACTGTTTCAATCTCCTGCGGAACATCCTCCAGGCAGATGGCTTAGGTCTGCGTACATGAAGGGATGGCATCTCGCCGCTGCACAAGACAACCACTGCACCGTCAAACACTTCTCACCGTGAAAAGTCCCTCCTCATGCGGAACTGAAATCTGCATCCCTGTGCTTTTTACCCTACTGGCCCTTTGGAGCAACTGAAAATACATCTAGGCCTTCTTCCGATGGCAGCCCAGATCCTATTTGCAGGATGCTCTTCCTCAACATCTGCGAAGTGTTTCCAGGTCACCAGAGCCCCTGCACTGCCCTCCACCTTCGTGGGGTTCTGCATCTGAGGGCAGGCTTCATCCCCACCTCTACGGAGTCTTTCCTTCTCTGTGAAGAACTCCCCCAGGCCTCCAAACTCACCTCCCAGGATGCACTGACAGCCAGCCACCCTCTTAGAAGTGGTTTTTCTCTGTCTTTCCTTGAGTGTGGTGGGATGTGGCAGGGTCTGAGCAGAACAGAGGCCTGGGAGATCATCACCACCTTCTGCCTACAGGCCACACTGGCCTCCCTCAGCTTTGGGCAGCCCCAAAGTTTGTCTCTAAGTTGGGCGTTCAAAGACCAGAACATATTTTCCCACAGAAACAGGGTCATGTGTGGCTCTGGGTCCCCTGGTGAGGCCAACGGCCTGTCACTCATAGAATGAGCCCACAGGGTGACCTGGTACTGATGGGCCACAGAATCTCCCCACAAGCGTAAGCAGGCTTGCAGTGGGAAAATGCTGCCAAGTCCAGCTGGGAGCAGAAATGCAGAGCCCACCTCAGGAAGGGCTAAGGGATCAGTGTCCCCTGATGTGTTCTCATCCCCAGCACACTCTAAGCTGCCAGAAGAACAGGGTTGGCCTAGTCCTGAATCAGCCTCAATTTCACAGTCTGGACCTCTGGGGGAAAGGGTGCCTCACCCCAGCACCTGCACAGAGCACCCTAGTCACAACCACTTCCCCACTTGGCTCCATAAAGAGCTTCTGCGGGGGGTACCAGGAAAAGGGGTCTTAGTGGTTGGCACCAGAATCCCTCTTAGGGACAGAACTGGCTTTGGGTAAAAGCTGTGACAAGTGGTTGGGATGAAAGGTGAAACCCAGAAAGAACTGACTGGGCATCGAGGCAGGAATTTGGAGGCAGGGAGAGGACGGTGCAGACAATGACAGCATTGAAAGTGGGGCAGGGGAAGAGGCCAAGCCCAAGACAAGGAAAGGACCAAGGGACTTTAAAGAAGAGGAATGGCACAGAGAACAAAATTGTGGTTGCCAAGGGGGAGGGGGAAGGAGGGAGGGATGGGCTGGGAGTTTGGGATTAGTAGATGCAAACTGTTACATACAGAATAGATGGACAAGGTCCTACTGTATAGCACAGGGAACTATAGTGTCCTGGGATAAACCATAATGGAAAATAGTATAAAAAAGAATGTGTGTATACGTATAACTGAGTCACGTTGCTGTACAGCAGAAATTAACACAACATTGTAAATCAAATATACTTCAATTTAAAAAGTAAATTTAAAATAAAGAAAAAAAGAAAGCATATGGTAAAGGAAAGAAAATAATAAAGAACAGGAATGTCAAAGGCAGGATTTTAGGATTTTTACATTGTTTTTGTGTGTAATGTAAGTCCCCTCCATCTCTTATTTTGGAAAGCCTGCCCCACATCAAAGTGTGTGAATGGGGCCTCTATGGAAAGTGGGGAGGACTGTGATCCATGTTAGGGGTGATGCCAAGGTAGAGACAAAGGACTATGTGCAAAATTTCAAGAGGACGGCAAAAACCGAGCAGAAGCTGGAAGTAAGAGCCAAGAGTGACCACAAGAATTTAAGCCCTTCCTCCTGAAACCTTGGGAAGGTGCTGGACCCACCATAGCACCTCAAATGGGGACTTTGGTCTCAGCTAGAACCAAAGAGGCCAGGAGACCCAGCACTGGCTCAGAGCTCAGCCACTGGTAGAATATCAGTAACTGTAGGCTGGCTGGATGACGAAGGACAGAGTCCAAGGGGAGAAGCCCACAGGAGCTTGGGAATGAAAAGGGTCAAGGCTTAAGGCTGGGGGAGGAGAGTCATGGGAGACAGAGCCTCTTGCCAGTGGGAACCCCAAGATACCCCACTGTCCTAGTTCCAAGAACTATCTAGGACAGAGCCCTGTGGATTGTCACTAGAGACCTTCCCCCCAACAACAGGATTTCCCTTCTCCAGTGTCTCCTCTACCCTCCTGTTATTAAAGTAGGCACGCTTACCAGCCTTCTTGTTTTTCAAAACGTATTTATTGCTGTTTGCAAAGGAAACAGAGAAGATTTGTAAGCACCCTCTCTTACTATTCTCCGTCATATCTTCTTTTCTCACTCAGTCCCTCAAGGAAGAAATAACAGAGCATGGTGGTGATAGTAAGGGTCTTTTTTAAAATTTTTATTCATTTACTTATTTTTGGCTGCGTTGGGTCTTCCTTGCTGCACGCGGGCTTTTTCTGGTTGCGGCGAGAGGGGGCTACTCTTCGTTGCGGAGCACGGGCTTCTCATTGCTGTGGCTTCTCTTGTTGTGGAGCACAGGCTCCAGGCGCATGGGCTTCAGTAGTTGTGGCACATAGGCTCAGTAGTTGTGGCTCACGGGCTACAGAGCGCAGGCTCAGTAGCTGTGGCGCATGGGCTTAGTTGCTCCGCGGCATGTGGGATCTTCCCGGACCAGGGCTCGAACCCGCGTCCCCTGCATTGGCAGGTGGACCCTTAACCACTATGCCACCAGGGAAGTCCCAACAGTGAGGGTCTTTGTGGGCAAAAGCCTAATGCAAGAAGTTCCAGTGGTTTATTGGGACACTCAGACTAAGGAAACCAGACACTCTCCTTCCAGGGTCATCTCTAAATGAGGCCTAAGCAGGAGCAGGGAGGAGATGGGGTGAGGGAGCGGGGAGGTAGGTGTTGCTGCCCCACCCCCAGCCCTGACTTGTAATCAAGCCCCCTTCATGGTGGGGCCTCAGAGCAAAGAGAAGTCAGGACAAAGAAAAGTATTTCCATGGAAGCTAAGTTTCTGCAGAGAAGTTTATAATTTTTTAAAAATGTATCCCTGTCAAATGCCGTTGTCAGATTCAGCATTTTATCCAAACCCGTAGAGATAAATTTGTAGACCTTGTTATTATTCTGCTCTCTCTCTTAGCAGTGTGCTCCCTCCCAATTTGTTAAGTAAGACTGTTAGTCTTTATCCAGGTTGTGGGTTAGTGTTTGCCAGGGCAGAGCCCTGTGGCATATCATGAGAGACCTCCCTCCCGATGACTTTACTAATGAGGCCTTTGTCAACCCACCAAATTACCTGTTCTACAGCTCATATTTCTCCCTGTTCACATGACATCACGAGGGACTGAAAAGGCTGAGAACTGAAAGGCCCTTGAAAATGAAGAGATCTTTATGACTGTGCAAAGGGAAAGTAGGATTGGTACAGTGTCACTGGCCCCTGAAGACTCACCCACTGCCCAGCCTGCACCTGTTCGTCTGTGTATCAGCGACAACCTCGGCAATGACAGCTGGCTCATAGACCCAGAATGAGTTCTGATGCCCCTGCCCCACCCTAAGACAGACAGGAAGACGGACATGCACACACAGACATGCCTGCGTGAGGGGACCCGTACCGGATCCTCATCATCCACAGCAGCCTCGTGTTCCAAGAGCAGCCGCACAGCCTGCTCGTGCCCTGCGCCCGCAGCCCGGTGCAGGGCCACCCTGCCCACCTGCCAGGAGGGAGAGGAAACCTGTGAGGCACCAGCTGGCTGCCCGGCCCACCTTGCACAGCCTCCCTACCTCCCGGCCAGGACAGCTGGTCTGCGGGGTGGAAGGACCTTTGCTGGCTCTGGTGACCAGTTGGCTGGGGCCACAGCCCCCCTCTGACCCCCTCCTCTTCCACTCTGCAGCTGCTGAAATGAACGTAGTAGAACACCATGTCTAGATCCGTCTGTCCCCCACCTAAAACTCTTCCCAGCTTCCCACTGCTCTTGGATCAAACGCCTAAACCTTGGGCCTATGAGGCCCTGCATGGCCTGGCACAGCTTCTCAGAAATGCCAGACAACATCCTGTCTCTAAGTCTGTTCCTGTTGCTCCCTCTGCTGGGCAGCCACCTGTGTCTGAGGATTATTTTCCAAGTCCCTGAGGAATCCTGAGTGCCTGGGTTCTGTCCCCTCCTTCCTTCAGAACAGGGTTGAAGGGTTCTGACCTACCCCCCACCCCCAAACTCACTGTCAGACCACCCTGGCAGTTCACCCTGGTCTCTGGCCCTCAGCACGTCAGAGCAGGCCTGGGGGAAGCCAGCCTCCAACCCATGAACCCACTTCCCTCCACAGTTTTCAGCATGTGATGGGGCAACAAAAGAAAACACTAATTTTCTGTGTGGTCTCTCTGGGGATGAGCTGTCCCTTCCTTTCCCATTCTGTCCCCTCTAGAGCCTGAAAACACTGCCCTTTTTCACTGGCTCCCACAAAAATGCCACTTCCTTGGGAGGACTTCTGGCCGAGAGGGCCCCTCTGACGCCCACATGCTTTCAAATTGTGACAGTGGGAATGAACTATTTGTGAGATAATCTATTTAATGTCTGTTTTCCCCCACCAGACTATCAGCTCCAAGAGGGCTGGGACCATGTCTGCCATGGGTTCTGCTGTCCCCATCACCTAGCACAGTGCCAGCACAGAGTAAGCCCTTAATACTTATTGAACAAATGAATCATTCAACAAGTAAATGAATGAATGAATCTGGCATTAGCATCCTATCATCCATAAGATGCAAGTCCAACTTGCAAGTCCATGTTTCCTTGCAAGTGCTTGTCCAGGAGATGAGACCAAGGCTCCAGTCACCAATAATGTGCTGTGTGACCTAGGGTCACTTGCTGCCCTCCTCTGCACCTGCCTCCATCTGTAAATGGGACCAATCCTCCCTGCTCTCCTCCCCTCTCCAGGGGTGAGTGAGAACCACCAGGAAACAGGTAGATGAGTGCTCTGAAAACCAAAATACACCAGACACACCCTAGAATTCCTGCTACTATTACTGAGCCCTAGGCAGGCTGTGAAGACCCAAGTTGTACCCCTGTCACATCAAACCAGACAGAGGATAACTGCTGCAGTCAGGAATCCTGCATCCAACCCTTTCAGCCTCCACTGACCTCTCACCCAGGCCCTGGCATCTCCTCTAAGATGCTCCTGACAGCTAGAAGCCCCAACACATGGAGAGGCTACCCCACGTGGTACCCAGGCCCATCCCCAGTGTGCCCAACCAGAAGAATGGCTTTTCCCTCTGCCCCCTTCTCCAGCAGGGCTGTGAACCACCCCACCTGCACCCTTCCCTGAGGCCTGGTCGGCCTCCCCACCAGGCCAAGGGCAGGCCTGGGCCCACAACAGTTTTACACACTCAGTAGGCACAGCGGGCCCTCAGAGAACTGAACTGCCTAGGAGACATTCAGGCCAGGGAGGGGCTGTTCCCCGATCCTCCTTACACAGTGTCAGGGGTCCTCCGCCCTCATCTTGCACCACTTTTTGTCCACACAGTGCTTCCTCTGGAGAGGCAGCTCCATGAGGCTGCCCGCCGGAACCACGTTGGGAGGATGCCTCAGGGACCTAGCGGTCCAGTGGTTAAGACTTCGCCTTCCAGTGCAGGGGGTGCAGGTTGGATCCCTGGTCGGGGAGTTCAGATCTCACATGCCTTGTGGCCAAAAGACCAAAGCATAAAACAGAAGCCATATTGTAACAAATTCAATAAAGATTTTAAAACAAAACACTGTAAAAAAAAAAAAAAAAAAAAATTGCAACTTGCGCACCGCAATGAAGAGTAGCCCCTGCTCACTGCGACCGGATAAAGCCCACACGCAGCAACGAAGACCCAACACAGCCAAAAATAAATAAATTTATTTATTTATTTATTTATTTTTAAAAAGATACATATCAAAGGAATATTTTCAATGAGCCCAGGCTCTTGCATCTTCCCATACATAAAAAAACACTAAAAAAAAAAAAAAAAAAAAAAAAATTGCAACTGACACATCAGCCTCCCTTGGTCCAGAACCCCTGGACTTCTGACCAGAGGCACCAGGCCACCTTTGTCTCTCCAGGTGCCTGTCCCTATCTGCCAGCCTCCGACTGCTGACCTTTGACCCCCTGCCCTCCTGACTCTAAATCTGTTTCTTGGAGGAGCCTTCTGGATGGGTCACGAGGATTAAGAGTTAAGAGCGCTGGAATCCTGGCCCTGACTTTGGGCCTCAGAGATTTTGAGACAAAGTGGACAAGGAGGCCAGGGCCTGAGCCTCCCCCAAGTTAACACGTGCCGATGTGCCTGCCCCAGGCTCCGGGAACTGCCCCTCCTGTGTGGAGGTGACACTAGAGCATTATTCCCAGCCAGAGCTCCCTTACACACGCGATTTCTGGCCCTGATGTGTACTCTCCTCCCGATCAGCTCCTTCATCCTCCCAGCGTGGTTCCGGCGGGCAGCCTCATGGAGCTGCCTCTCCAGAGCAAGCACTGTGGGGACAAAAAAGGGGTGCAGGATGAGGGCGGAGGACCCCCGACACTGTGTAAGGAGGATCGGGGAACAGCCTCTTCCTGGCTTGAGTATCTCCTAGGCAGGGGGTCTTCCAGCTCAGAATGGTGGGTGGATGCTTCTCTTTCTTAATGTTGGAGACTTCCCCAGACAGGCTGCTTCTCCTTCCAGCGCACCTCATGTCCACGTGACCAGGACTCAGCAGAACCCTGAAGCTGGGAGACCGTGGACAAGACCATCCACAGGAGCCAGGTGTGTGCCCCTCCCCTCTCAGAGGCGCCCCGTCATCCAGTTTGCCTGACTGCTATCGCTGTTCTTGAGGAAGGGAATGCAATTCATTCCCACTGGAGTCGATAACCGCCTTTCCCATGGCTCCATCAGTGAAGAAGGCAGCCAGGATTTACTGAGCCACCCACTGCATCAGGCCTGGGTGAGGCCCGACGCGCGTGTTCACCCGGCTTCTTTGTCCTCGTCCCTCCACCTCTTCTCTCCTCATCCCCTAATCCTAACCAGCTTTCGCCTCCTGGTTGTGGGGCCCTCTCTGATTGCCTTCTCTGTGGTCTCTGCACTCCTCTCATCCTTGTCGCTGCACCTTCATCTCAGTCTCAGATTAGAAGGAACCTCCAAGCCCCGCTTCCAGCCCCTTGCCATGGCCAGCAGTGGGCTCAGAGGGTTGGTGGCCAGGCCAGGGGGACTCAGGCCTGATGACATGGTCCAGGGCTCATCTCACCAGAACCCCATGCTGCCATCATCCTGACTGCTCTTGGCTTATAAGCATGTCCGGTCTCTTTGGCTGGACCTCAAGCTCCTTGGGGGCTCTGGCCACACCTGACACTTGCCAACCCACCCACACTTCACAGTGGGCCCAAAGCTGAACACATGGAGGAATCCACAAAACTCTGCTTCCATGAGTGACACTGAAAATCCCCAAGCTGACAGATGCCTGTCCCCCCTTCAGAAAGGCTTAGATACACAAGCACAAGGGACAAATATTGGGCTGGCCAAAAAAGTTCGTTTGGGTTTCCCCATAACATCTTACAGAAAAACTCAAATGAACTTTTTGGCCAACCCAATATTGGCTGGCCCTTTGCACAATCAGTACAGGGCATGTAACTTGAGGTTTTATTGCTGCTGAGCCTACATCCTGCACATTTGGTCCACGGCAAATGTCCAGACCCAGCCCCTCTGTGTATCCAGGGACAGGTCGCCAGTGTCTTGGCAGGGAAGGCTGGGATGCATTAAAGTGACAGAGAAGCCTGCCATCGATTTGTTTTTTCCAGATAAATTCCACGTGGCTTTCCAAATACAGGAGAGGGTTTGGGGCTTTCTGGGGCCTCATAGATGCAACCTATGGACCTCAGAGCTGCTGCCCTGTGGCTGAGCCATTTCCTGGCTGTGTGACTTAGGTTACTTAATTTTTCTGTGCCTCAGTTTCCTCATCTGCAAAATGGGGACATGAGCTGCCCTGCAGGGTTATTGTAATGATTGGATATAAGTATGTGAAAAGCTCCTAGCATGGTATCTGGCAAATAGTACCATCGTCATCATCACTACTATCCCTCCAAAACAAAGGGGTCAGAGAATAAATTCTGGTGGCCAAAGACCTGGGGGTGGTGGGGCTTCCTTTGTTCAGGGCTCTCTGAGCCAGTGAAGCCCCAACCAAGGAAACACCCTCCCTACCCACCTCCCTGCACTGCTTTTCTCCACACCACCCCTCACCACTGGCCTACGCTATATTTACATATTTATTAGCTTTATTGTCTGCTTCCCCCATTATAATATAAGCCCATGAAGGGAGAGATTTTTGTCTGACTTGTTAACTGCTATATCCCTAAATTCAGGCCCTGGCATATATTTGCTGAATGAATAAGTGACACACAAATCATTAAGTCTCTTCAGGGCTTTTGAACTATATAAGATGTTGCCCCAGTTGAGACTCATTTGTTCCCTGGGAAACCAAACCACAAGCTCAGGTAAATGGCAGGAAAGAGGTGTATGGGGACAGGGGGAGCTTCATGTCAATACTTCAGGGGAAAGGGGAAAACAGCTCCTTCCAAGTGTGGTCCCCATTGATGGCGCCACCCTTCCTCACCCCTAAAAGGGTCTGCCTTTCCTATAGGAGAGGAGAGGGTCCTTCTGGAAGAATCCCTCTCAGATCTCAAACACCTGCGGGAAGTAACTGTGTCCTGAGCATTCCTTTCCTTAAACTCTTGGACGAAAACCACCATGATCCAGGTTCAGCAAAAGATCTGGCAGTTCAGGCGTAAGCTTAGGGAAGCTGGGGTTTAGTACCCACACTGCCACTTTCTAACAGCAGGAAACATCCCCCTTGGGGGCCTCAGTTCCACTGCAGAATCAGGGGAGGGTGAAAAAGCGATCTGTAGAGATCCCTACCAGCTCTGACTCCCTTTCTCTGGACGGAAGCCTGGGAGAGTGGCCAGGTTTGTGTTGGCAAACAGCCAAGAGCCTGAAGGAGCACATGGAGATCCTGGAGAGCGCCAGTGAAATGAAATTCAGTCTCATCTCTTCCATGCATCCTCAATCCATGCATCCTCTTTCTGGCCACAACAGACACACACTGCACTCTGGCCTCTGAGCTTCTGCCTATGCTGGGTCCTCTGCGCAGAATTCCCTCCCGCGCACCCCAATGATCCACTGCTGCACATGCTTTAAGGGCCTGCTCAAGTGATGTCTGCCCCAAGCAGAACCCTGTACCTGTTTGAAAGGCTTAGCACCTGATAGAACCCCCACTCCCATCTGCATCCCACTGAGGAAAATGGCACAGTCCTTCTCTCCCTTTACCAGGCAGTGCAGCCAAAGGTCCCCCAAGCTGGCTGATGTCCACAGGGATGCCACTGCCTGGCCCAGAAGCCCTAGCAGCCAGGCACACTCCTGGAGGGGGCTCTGAGGTGCCCTCATCCCCCCTGCAGCACACCATACCTCCTGCACTCCCCATCCAGCCCCGACATTCTAAGGGAGCTGGGACCCTCAGCATTTCTACCACTTTAAGGCTGTGTGACCTTGGGCAACTTGTGTAACCACTTTGTGCCTCAGCTTTCTCTTCCGCAAAATGGAGATAACAGTAGGTCCTACCCAGAAAGCTGCTGTGGAGATCAAATAAAGTGCCAGCCCCGGCTCAGTCTGGCACACAAAGTAAGTATCCAGTAAAAGATCGTATTCCCATCTTCTTTCGATCTAACGTCTCCTCCACCCAAGCTCCCCGCTCCAGGGCGGGGAGTACCCCCAGTCCCAGGTGAGCAGCCAATGTCCCCTCGGCCAGGTGCGAGTTCCTCTCGGGGCCACAAAGAAGCCCAAGACGCAGGTGGCCACGCGGACCGCGCAGATCTCAGGCTCGGTCGTCCCCGCTGGGTTGCGGCGCATCCTCTCGGCCTCTACCCGCCCCTGTCCCGGCCCCCACCCCGCGGACTCACGGCCCTGGGTCTCCCACGCCAGCTCCTCCTCCATGCCGCCGCTCCGGAGCTCCTCTGTGTCCTGCCTGGTCGCGAGCGACCCGTCCGCCCGACTGGGCCCAGGAGCTGAGGGAGGAGGAGCTGAGCTGGGGGTGAGGACGAGGCTCCCGGGAGCGTCGGAGTGCAGGGGGCAGCCACTCCTCCAGAGCCCTCGCCCCTCCTCGGCTCTTGGGTATGATGAGGGCGCAGCTGCTCCGACCTCCCGACCGCCTCCCATCCCGGGCCAGACTGCGGGTCTCTCTACGGGCTGCCTCGACCAGCCCACGGCCCAGCGTTTCGGAGCCACTTGGGGCTCCGCAGGTCCCCCTGGGAATGTCTCCTCTGCGAGCTGTCCCAGCCTCCCGGGTCCCGGATGCATGACCTGCCGCAGGCCCCTGGCTCGCGACTCGGAAGCCTGGTCTGGCGCCCCCAGGCGCTGAAAGTCAGACCCCAAGCACTTGGGTGGGCATTTAAGGAACAGTAACCTCAGCAAGCCTGCAGGCATATGAAGAGATGGTCGGATTTGTTCATGATCAGAAAAATACAAATTAAAATGACAGTGAGATACCACTTACACCGATTAGACTGGCAAAAATTAGAAAAACCGGATGATGCCAAATGGTGGTGGGGAATGAGGGGTGTCATGGCCAGGTGCACTGCTGGTGGGGGTAGCCTGGGGCAGCCATTCCGGCAAAGAGTCTTGGCAGTAATGAGGGAAACTAAACACAGCGAACTCTGACCCTAAAAGCCAGTTCCTTCTCTTACAGGCTCATCAGGGGACATGTAAGAGGATTTTGTTGCTGGGTTGTTTTGTGGTTACTGGGAGCTGGAAACAACCTAAGTGTCCACACTGGGGGAGTAGATGGATAGGTAAAATGTGGTATTACTATGCAACTACAGATGCAAGGACCACGTGTATTTACAGCAACATGGATTGAAACACCAAGTGCTGAGCAGAGAGTAAAACAACCAAATGAGACCTAAAACACAATACCAATAAAAATGCTTGCACACAAAACACAGATTTGCAAAGGTACATACAGTACAAACAAAACGATACACATTAAACATATCAGAATGGGTTGTACTTCAGACCCTGGGGGATGCCCATGTCTTCTCTTCTTTGCCTTTTAGGCATTTACAGCCTCTTTAGATTTGGGGATAGTGGGGTCCCACGCATCTCTATCCCAAGGCAAGAAGTCATTGCTATTTCTTGCGGGATCAGAGGAGGACAAATATCTTTCAGTCATTAGTGTGGATCAGAAAGGCTTCCTGGAGGAGGAAGTACTTGGAATGGCCTTTGAAAAATAACATAATGATAATAGCTAACAGTTAATGAGCCGCACTGTAAGACTTTGTGTGGATTATCTCATTTTGTCCCCCATACCACCCTATGAAATGGACATTATTACCACCAGATTATGGGGGAGGAACTGAAGCACAGAGGGTAAATAACTCTTCCTACCCCCCACAGTAAGTGGTGAAGCCAGGGTTCTAACCCAGCTGGTCTGATTTAAGAGCCACAGCATGAACATCTGGTAGGTGGAAAGGACATTGATGGAGCCAAACCTGCAGACAGCTGGTGGTTGGTCACTCTTGAAGCCCTGGCCTCCCTGATGGATGCAGAGGTGCCAGGGAACAGTTGGCTGGCACAGCTGCCCAGCTGCCATCCTTGATGTCCATGGTCTTGAACCAGCAGAATGAAGTGACTGCTGCTTTATCATCTTCCTCCTGCAGCCACTACTGTCTAGAGATAGTCTGTGTCTCCACACTTTCCCTGGGGCACCTGGAGGTGAGACCCAAGTGACCATGAGTCAGCATTAGAGAAATCCTTGGGAAGTGGGTGACTGACAGAAGCCTGGCTGTCCCCACCAGACCAGCCGCCCTGACCCAGGCTAGGCCACACCCATCCAGTGCTTCCAGGTAAACCCAGAAGTTTCTACGGGCTTCCTCTAGGAGGCCTCCCCAGCCTTCAATGATCCCACATTCTGGCCAGGGAATTTTAAATTCATTATCCCACTTAATCCTCACAGCAATTCTGCAAAACAGACATTGTCACCCCTATTTAATGGATGAGGAAACTGAGGCTCAGAAGGATCCAATAACTTTTCAAGGTCACAGCAACAAACAGTGGTAGAGGCTGGATTCAAACTCACTGTACCACACTGCCATTTCGGTCTGGACCAAACTGGCCCATTATCCAACCCCTTTTCATCCTTCAAGTTCAACTCCACAGCACCCACCCCTAGCCTCCAGCCTCCCAGGAAGGCTCCCTTGTAGATGCCATAAATAGCTGGTGACCTAGGTCAGTCCCTTCCCCTCTGTGGGCCTCGGTCTCCTAAAACCACTGGGTTGGAGGTGGGGCCTGTGAGCCATCCAGCCCTGATGGTCCATGGTTGGACAAGGCACAGTGATCTTTCCTAAGATCACTCAAGTGGGTTGAGGGCCTCTAGCACTGGTGACAGGTTTCTCCACAAGATGGCCCTCCTGGTTTTTCTTTGTTCTTACCTCATATCTTAAGAAATTAGAGAGGGTTTCTTTGTTTTACAAAATAGAACTGTGACTTGTGTTTCACAATCTACCTAGTTGATTTCATGCTCCTTTGTTATTTGGGTGACATTCTGGTAGAAAGACAGAATCCCAGGCCCCACCCCAGACTGACTGAATCAGAACCTGCATTTCCACAAGACCTCTGGTGATTCCTGTGTACATCAAAATATGAGAAGCACTGCTCTAAGCTGTCAACGCTGCTTCATTCCAGTCCATCATTTTTGGGCTTTTATGCCTATTTTCCCAAGCAGGTCTAATTAATCTCTTTGAGCTGTCGTCATTTCTTGAGCAACAGCTGTGTACCAGCCACTGTAACAGTTCTTTATCAGCATTATTTCCTGTACTCTTCCCAAACTCCCTATGATGCCTTTTCTTCCAGAGAGAGGTCACAATTTGTAATTTGGGAACACACAAATAACACTGGGTCCACCTATTCCCACTCAGAGCCCAATGCCCTTTCATTTCATACTCAAAAGAATCACTAGCATGGTCCAAAGCCTTGAAAAATACTGCAGGGGACTTCCCTGTTGATCCAGTGGGTAAGACTCTGTGCTCCCAATGCAGGGGTCTCGGGTTCGATCCCTGGCCAGAGAACTAGATCCCCCATGCATGCTGTAACTAAGAGTCCACATGCCGCAACTAAATATCCCACATGCCACAACGAAGATCCCGTGTGCCTCAACTAAGACCTGGAACAGCCAAAATAAATAAATAAATAAATAAATAAATATTTTTTAAAGAAAGAAAAAGAAAAAGAATACAAGTGATATTATCTTTGTCAACAGTTTATTTAACATAGGCTCACTGCAGAAATTATAAAAATTTCACGAGCTATTAGCATACAGGATAATGTCTCTTAAAAAGCCAATAAAGAGGGAGCCATTTTCAAGAACACAGCATTGAGAGAGAAGTGCATTGTTGAGACCATCTGGATGGTCTACATGAACCCAGTCAGGCCTCTATATAAATTCTTAAGAATCTCGTGGGCGGGTGCAGAGATCTACCGGTTCTGCAGGCACCAAGAGAAGCCTGAGGATGTCAGCTCTGAGCCCCAGCAAGAGATAACAGACTTCACCTTGGATTAGTTCACCCACTCCTGCTTCATTAAAGAGGATTTTGAAAAGAAAACCCCAATCAAGTCCCCTTTCCAGCCCCACTTTGTTCCAGAATTGAACAGAAACAGTTTCCTGTTCCAGCCGTGTGGCTAAAAGGGTCTTGGTGCTCTGACCAGGTGTCAGGCCTGTACCTCTGAGGTGGGAGAGCCGACTTCAGGACATTTGTCCACCAGAGACCTCGCAGCTCCACGTAATATTAAACAGCAAAAGTTCTCCCAGAGATCTCCATCTCAACGCTAAGACCCAGCTCCACTCAACGACCAGCAAGCTACAGTGTTGGACACCCTATGCCAAACAACTAGCAAGACAAGAACACAACCCCACCCATTAGCAGAGAGGCTGCCTAAACTCATAATAAGGTCACAGACACCCCAAAACACACCACCGGACATGGTTCTGCCCACCAGAAAGACAAGATCCAGCCTCATCCTCCAGAACACAGGCACCAGTCCCCTCCACCAAGAAGCTTACACAACCCACTGAACCAACCTTAGACACTGGGAGCAGACACCAAAAACAATGGGAACTACAAACTTGCAGCCTGAGAAAAGGAGACCCCAAACACAGTAAGTTAAGCAAAATGAGAAGACAGAGAAACACACAGCAGATGAAGGAGTAAGGTAAAAACTCACCAGACCAAACAAATGAAGAGGAAATAGGCAGTCTACCTGAAAAAGAATTCAGAGTAATGGTAGTAAAGATGATCCAAAATCTTAGAAATAGAATGGAGAAAATACAAGAAACGTTTAACAAGGACCTAGAAGAATTAAACAGCAAACAATGATGAACAACACAATACACGAAATTAAAAATTCTAGAAGGAATCAATAGCAGAATAACTGAGGCAGAAGAATGGATAAGTGACCTGGAAGATAAAACAGTGGAAATAACTACTGCAGAGTAGAATAAAGGAAAAAGAATGAAAAGAATTGAGGACTGTCTCAGAGACCTCTGGGACAACATTAAACACACCAACATTCGAACTATACAAGTCCCAGAAGAAGAAGAGAGAAAGAAAGGGACTGAGAAAATATTTAAAGAGATTATAGTTGAGAATTTCTCCACTATGGGAAAGGAAATAGTCAATCAAGTCCAGGAAGCACAAAGAGTCCCATACAGGATAAATCCAAGGAGAAACACACCAAGACACATATTAATCAAACTATCAAAAATTAAATACAAAGAAAAAATATTAAATGCAGCAAGGGAGGGCTTCCCTGGTGGCGCAGTTGTTGGGGGTCCGCCTGCCGATGCAGGGGACGCAGGTTCGTGCCCCGATCCGGGAAGGTCCCACATGCCAAGGAGCAGCAGGGCCCGTGAGCTGTGGCCGCTGGGCCTGCGCGTCCAGAGC